TGCAACCCAGGCATGTGCCCTGACTGGGAACCGAACCACGATCTTTTGGTTTGCAGGCCCGTGCTCCATCCACTGAGCTACACCAGCCAGGGCTTCACCAAGCACTATTTCTTAAAGCACGATACTCAGGGAAGTCAAAAGCCCTTTACAGACACTCTGCTGTGACCACAAACTTCACCGATAACCCCACATGGTTATCATGTCACTGATTCTAATGATCAGTTCAGCACAAAGTCAACCTTCCTATTGAAAAAACAATTCAGTGCAACACGCCCTACTGACCACATAAGCAATGGCAGCAGTTTCTGTTAAAGTTTAATCTTCATATCCTAATGCTTTGCCACCTTGGCTGTTAACAAGTGGTAAATCAGTATAGAAAAATAAAGTAAAATAAATGTCCATACAAAATTCTCTCTGAAAATGAATCAATAATGGAATGTTCAAGGTGGTCATTGGTTCTCATAGTACAAGGAATTATAAAGAGGCAGGTTCCAGTGTACAAAGAGACAGGAAATGCTCCTTACATCATAACACATGAAAACACAGACACAGTTCTGAGAGGTCAGGAAGCAGACAGTAATGGACCAGGAGGGCGAGAGTTCCCCAGGAACCAGGCCTAGCTGCGGGCGAAAGGCTCGTTAGCAAGGCAGCATCCTTGTGCAGAGGCTCTCGGTGGGCCACGGCTTGGAAGCTTGGTGTGATGTAAACAAGTGAACTTCCCAAGGCTGCCAGGAGTGAACCACCCAGTGCAGGGTGTGGCTGACATTAATTCTTCAACTAATTAAAAATGAAATAAAATTAAACATAATATCAAATTAAAGACAAAACAATAAAGTCCTTTAAAAGTTAGCATTAAAAAGAGGTAAGTGGATAAATACTCCCTTTCATGATTAGAAGAAACCTTGCTGAGTAATTTTAAATAAGCTCTTCTTTATCTCAAGTCCTTAGATCCTTGAAGGCAGAGTTTTGAGGATGCCAAAATTCATGAATGGCAGGCAGAATTGTTTGTAGATATATAGATTTTTTTTCCTTTTGTGAAGAGGTCCCATGGCATTCATTGCATCCTCAAATGATTAATTAATTATATGTGCCAAAAGAGTAATGCATCCCAAACTGCATAGCAGTGTTACCCAGCAGCAGAGTAAAAGGATTATACAGCATGATCAAGTGAGATTTACCCAGGAAATGCCAAGATGGTATAACATACAAAATTCAATCAGTGTAACACACCACAGTAACAGTACGAAAGGGGGACCAAACCGCACGATCACTTCAATGGATGCGGAAAAAAATAAACACTGGAAACAATCCAACACCCTTATGATAAAAATACTTAACCAACAAGGAATAGAGAAGCACTTATAAGAAACCCTCAGCTAACATGGTGAAAAACTGAAAGCCTTCTCCCTAAGACCAGGAACGAGCCAGGGATATGGTTATTCAAATAGGGCCAAAAAGCTTTTATAATAAAATAATTTCAACACAACTATTTCAAGTCAAATTAGAAACTGGAGATATTTTCAAATTTTGAAAATCAACGTGGGCAGGAGAAAGTTGGTGAAACCCAGAAAGAACAGAGTGAGAGTCTGAACAGGTGACAGGCGCCTGTGTCCTCTGTCCGTCAGCAGCAGGTGCTCTGCTTGGGCTTCACTGTTTACAGGTGATGTGGCTTTAAGAAGATGCCCACAGCCACCGACCCAAACGACACGGCACTTCCATCTGGCTTCCCAGTGATGGTTCTCAACCAGGTGGTTGGCGCGATCACACTGTACTTTTAAAGTTTAATGCAATTCAATATTAGTTTAAAATTAGATTGGAAATGGTAGCGGGACTACAAATAATTTGTATTTTATTCTATTTTCCTGTCTGTGAAGTTTTCCACTGAGCTTATCTTCATCAGGTGTAAAACTGTATTTTTTATAAAATTGATGACTCTCATGGCAGGATGGAGGATCAAATGCAGCAGGAAGAGACTGGTGGCAGGAATGGCAGAAATGTGCCCCCAAATAGGGGGACAGGTGACAAGGATCTAAATAAAAGCAGCAGTTGGGGAGTGGGGTGAGAAATAGGTAAGTTGAAAAGGTGAACTGACCCAGGCCAACTGGATGAAAATTTTTTAAAAATTAAGATACGTCTCCAATTTCTGAGTTACAGAACTGCCACCAGCAACCTTAGAGAAGAGAAGGGGGTGCTAGTTATGGGAAAGGGGGTGTAAGCAAATTCAGTTCGCACTGTGATGAGTTTCAGGAGTCCAGCCCCCATCCAGGTAAATGTCTAATCAGCACTGGAAATACAATAATGGCATCAGAAGCGGAAAGATTGAAGATTGAAGTGCAGGAGTGTTAGGTGAAGCCATAGGGATGAATGCAATTGCTCAGGGCGCCAAGAACAAAATTAGAAAAAAATGGCCTAGAATAAAAGCCTGGAAAATACCAGTATTTAAGGTGAAAGAAGAGAGAGCAAAGGACAAAACAGAAAGAAAGGTAGAGAAGTAACTAAAAGAGAAAGGTCTTATGTGAGCCAAAAGAATACAACATCATCAAATCCTGCAAAGATTCGAGAATGAAGCCCGAAAAATGTCTGGTGCATTTGGCAATAATGATGTTCCCAGTGACCTTAGTAGAGGCAGAAAGTCAAACCTGGGAAGCTAGACTGATGTGAGTTGAGGAGTAAAATGAGGGGTGAATATTACAACCAATAAAGCGAAATCAATAACCTCACACAATATATACACCATTCCTTTTAAATTTTTAATGAGTGAAAATGGAAACTATATTCTTTTTTACTCCATGGGAAAATGTTCAGCAGTTTTGTTTTGTACAGTGAGTAAGTACATTCCCTATGTTCAACTCTGTTCCTATCACTCATTGCTTGTGGGGCTTTAAACAAATGATTTAACACTGCTGTGCTCCACAGTTTTCACCTGTGAAAAGGGAATGGGGATTGTACAACCTCAGCAGATTCCTTGAGAATCAGATGAGGTAATGCATGCAAAACAACTAGCTAAGTACATCACCTCAAGGTTCACACGGTATGTTTCCTAATTCTTTCATTTGCATAAAATCCAAAAAGCAATGAAATCTGGATACCCCCAACTGAAGGTCTGATATTTAAAACAGCAATCTCATTCTGGACTGCTCATTAAGTTTGCTTATTCACTTGACAGTGAACACTAACTGAGCATCCTTCACGGGCCAGAACTGTGTTGGATCCTGGGGACACAGAAAGGGTTAAGGTTTGGCCCCAACTCGCACAGGCAGAGGAGGTAATGGCTACATTTTTTTATTACAACATATCACATAAAATAATACAGTTGTTAGTATAAGGGTTACTTCTGAGGGTTGTAGACAAGAAGAGAATGCAAATGTGTAAGTATTTACACAGTGAAATGATCAAAACATTACCTGTATTATTTAATTATTGTAACTCCCCATAGAGCTACATGCTGGATAAATTAACTTACTGGATAGAGACAAAATGATATTTGAATCTAATAGATTGCACACTTCAACCTGAAGACACCAGGAAAGAACAAGAGTAAATTATTAGTCTAAACTGGAAACACTTTGAAATGGCCACTCTGTTTACTGTAACATGACCTCCTCTGGCACATTTTTAAAATAAAAGCATGTAATACCTCTTCCTAGTACCTTTTAGGCCTTCACTGCAATAGCCTAAGTTGATTTTAAAAAACCAAAATGCTAAGCTGCCAGTTAACTACTTTTATTTTATTTTATTGTTCTATTACAGTTGGCCCAATTTTTGCCCCAAGCTCTCCCCTGCCCCACCCCACTGTCCATGTCCACGGGTCCTTTGCACCTGTTCCTTGACTTGACCCTTCCCCTTCTTCCCCTGTTACCCCCTCCTCCCTCTCCTCTTGTTCCTGTCAGTCTGTTCCTGGTTTCCATGCCTCTGATTCTATTTTGCTCATTTGTTTGTTTTGTTCATTAGGTTCCACTTACAGGTGAGATCATATGGTATTTGTCTTTCACTGCCTGGCTTACTTCACTTAGCATAGTGCTCTCCAGTTCTATCCATGCTGTTGTGAAGGGTGGGAGTCCCTTCCTTCTTTCTGCAGTATAGTATTCCACTGTGTAAATGTGCCACAGTTTTTTGAACCACTAATTTACTGATGGGCACTTAGGCTGTTTCCAGCACTTGGCTATTGTAAATAACACTGCTATGAACACAGAGGTGCACAGGTTTCTTTGAATTGATGTTTCCCCCAGCAGTGGGATCACTGGATCGAACAGCAGTTCCATCTTCATTTTTCTGAGGAAAACACTTTTTTCACAGTGGCTACATCAATCTGCATTTATACCAACAGTGCACTAGGGTTCCCTTTTCTCCACAACCTCACCAGCACTTGTTGTTTCTTGATTTGTTAATGATGATCATGCTGACAGGTGTGAAGTGGTATCTCATTGCGGTTTAACTCTGCATCTCTCTGATGGCTAGTGATGCTGAGCATTTTTTCTTAGGTCTCTGGGCCCTCTGTGTGTCCTCCTTGGAGAAGTGTGTTCAGGCCCTTTGCACATTTTTTAAATTGGAGTGTGTGTCTTGCTGGTATTGAATCATATGAGTTCTTTATATAATTTAGAGATCAAACTCTTGTCCAAGGTATTATTGGCAAATATGTTTTCCCATATAGTTGGTTCCCTTTTCATTTTGATGTTTTCTTTAGCCATGCAGAAGATTTTTAATTTGATGTAGTCCCATTTGCTTTTTTTTTCTTTATTTCCCTTGCCCTAGAGGACATATTGGCAAAAATATTGCTGCATGGAATATCTGAAACTAAGACTTTTATGGTGTCACAACTTATATTTATGTCTTTTATCCATCTTGAGTTTATTGTGGTATATGATGTAAGTTGGTGGTCTAGTTTCATTTTTTTAATGTGTACCTGTCCAGATATCACAATACCATTTGTCAAAGAGGCTATTTTACTCCATTTTATTCTTCTGCCCCCTTTGTCAAATATTAGTTGACCAAAGTGTTCCAAAAATATGGAACACTTCACAAATTTGTGCATCATCCTTACACAGGGGGCACGCTAATAATCTCTGTTTAGTTTCGCTCCAATTTTAGTCTATGTGCTCCCAAACTGAGCACTAATTTCTTCAGATGTCTTATAAATCACTTGTTCTAATAAATATCTGTATTTAATCTGTTTTATTCTTCTCTGTATTTCTCAATAACTTCATGACATTAACATTCCAGAGTTGAATGTTTTCTTTTCTGTATCCCATATGAAATAAATCACAATGTAATCTCATTATGAATAAAAGCCTTCTCCACCTTACAAACAATAGCTCATTTATTTAATCAGAGTATAAAAGCTATAGTTATTTATTTATTTCTAAATTACTTTATTGTTGTTCAGTTACAGTTGTCTGCATTTTCCCCCACCCCCCACCCCTGCCAAACCCACCTCCCTCCCTTGCTTCCACCCTCCCCCTTGGTTTTATCCATGTGTCCTTTACAGCAGTTCCTGAAAACCCTTCTCCCCACTAAACAGTATTCAATAAACCACTGAAATGGGAATATTAAAGCAAATCTATTAATAAGACCTCAGCAGAGGGAAATTAATGTTTCATCCTACATAATGCCTTCCTGAGATCCTGTCTCCTTGGTCATCCATGTCCACCGATAACCCTGCAATCCGATAACAAAACCTGCTATAAAACACCGCTCTGCTCACAAAGGTAGATCTATAAGGACCTAGATTGCAGGTACTAGACCATTTTTGTGACCTGGGGCTAGTTCTTTAAATTCTCTAGAACTTCAGTGAAGGAAGACTGAAAATACCTTGTTCAGCCTAGTCCCACTGTTAAAAAGAACACACAAAGAAAGCTTTTGGTCAAGATGGTGGAGTAGGTAAATGCGGTACTCACCTCCTCCCACAACCACATCAAAACTACAACTACACTACAGAACAAGCATCACGCAGAACCACCTGACATCCAGCTGAACAGAAGTCCTATAACCAGGAACATAAAGAAAAAACCACGTCAAGACTGGTAGGAGGGGCGGAGATGTGGAACAAGCGGATCCCACACCTCCCTGTGGCAGTTAAAAAGTCAGGTGGGATATCTCAGCTGCAGAGGTGCCACCTGAGGAGAAAGCAGTCCCAACCCCACGGCAGGTCCGCAGCCCAGGGTTACAGTGCTGGGAAGAGAAGTCCCCCTGACTTCTGGCTGTGAAAACCAGCATGGATTGCGGCTGAATGAGACAGGGGCTTCTGGAATCCAAGGCATTTCTCTTAAAAAACCCATACAATCTTACTTGGACTCACTCACTCTGAGCTCCAATGCCGAGCAGCAGCTTCAAAGGTGCCAGGGACATACAAGGAGGGACTGAACTATCTGCCTTTGGGGCAAAGGTTGGTGGGACAGCTTTCATCCAGGCAGAAATGCTGGCAGAGGCCACTGGTCCTTTTCTGAGCCCTCCCCCAACAGAGTAGGCAGATAGCACTACATCTGAGTCTCCATCATCAATCTAGCTAACACTGCTCATGCCCCCACACCCCCACCTCTGTGATTCCCTGACACCCCACCCACCCAACTTGTAAGCCCACCTAAGCTATTTCCAGTGACTTTTCCATATAAAAGGCCTCTCCTGGCTCACGCTGCAGACTTTCCTAAAATCTCTCAAGCCTCAGAAACTGTAAACAAGCAGCATCTGGCCTCGGCATGCCCCATACCTCTTGCTATGTGGCCCCAGGCCCAACACTAGCAGCAATTGGCCTCAGTTCTGAGCTTGGCATCTCTCAGGTACCTCAAGCCCTGCACATGTAGCAGCAATCTCCAGATTGCTCTGTAGCTCATGCCAAGTGGCCCTGGGCAGGGCACAGTAGCTGTTGATCTTGGCCTGAACTTCCCAAGAGGCCCAAGAACCAGCACTCCTTGTGGACAGTGACAGACCATGACTGAGCACCACCCAACCACCTCCACAAGCAGCACACTCAAGGAACAGACTCATTGGGCACCAGAGCCCCCCCTAAAGCAAGTCCCACTCTGTGGGGTTGACTCCTACACATCAGTTCCTCCACTGTGGTGGTCATTGCCAGCCCTCAAAAGTGATCATCCCAGGGGCCAATCCCTCCCACTGACAATCCAACAGCAATCAGGGCTCAACTACAACAGGAGGGTGCACACAGCCCACCCAGGGGTGCACCTGAAGGGCCCAGCTCAGGTGACCAGGGAGGCTGCGCCACTGGACCCTCCAGGACACCTGCTACATAAGGCCACTCTACCAAGACTGGTAGACATAGCAGCTCTTCCTAATACACAGAAGCAAACACAGGAGGCTGCCAAATTGAGGAGACAAAGAAATATGGTCCAAGTGACATGAAGAAAAAGAACTAAATAAAAGAGACACACAATCTACCAGAATCAGAGTTTGAACTCTGTTATAAAGATACTTGATGAACTTAGAAGAGTACATGAATTTACCAAGAACTTCAACAAATAGATAGGAAACATAAAAAAAGAACCAGTCAGAAATAAAGAATATATCAATAATAACTGCAATGAAGAAAACACTACAGGGAATCAACAGTTAAAGCAGGAAATCAAGTCAGCGATTTGGTAGACAAGGTAGCAGAAAACACCCATATTAACAACCACACCTAAAACAAAAGCAAACTAAGAGGACAGCTAGATCAGGAGCAGAACCATAGAAATGAAGATCACATGGAGGGTTAGCAACAGGGGAGTGGGAGGAGGAGAAGGGGGGAGAAGGTACAGAAAATAAGTAGCATAGACGGTAGGTAGAAAATAGATGGGGGGAGGGCAAGAATAGTAGGGGAAATGTAGAATCTAAAGAACTTGAGACACGTGATCATAAACTAAAGGGAGGAATGGTGGGGGTGGGGATGTGCAGGGTGGAAAGGAATGAAGGGGGGAACAGGACAACAGTAATGGCAAAATCAATAAAATACATTAAAAAAAAGAAAATGAACAAAATTCTAATTAACAATGCTCGTGTACTGGGACTAGGGAACGATGATGAGACTGTGACACTGACGACTGACGGCAGAGGTTTCCTGGGTCCACATGGAGAAGCATGCGTGACACTGGGCGATGACTCAGCTCTGCTCAGTTTTCTCTGCCAGAACTGCCGTGAAACCCCTGCTTTGGGCCCTTCCTTGGTACAAACACGTCATTTTTGTAGTAACCCTCCCTACCTTTCGCCTTTTCTCATTAGGTCGGACAAAGCAGTATTACTTGGTGGCAATGATATAAGCACAGATGCTATAAATTGATGATCCAAATGAGTCAGAAGATGCTTAACTACTTTGGGTGGTTTGTCCCCCCTAAAACAAAAACATGAAATGTAAAACTTCTTATAAAAAATACACCTCTGGGCATGTGCTGTCGTGTCCTCAGTGTTCAGCATCTTGTGGCTGTGTTTCAGCCTGAAGTAAATATACAGAGGAAAGAGACCACTGAGGTGCGTGTGGTGTGTGATGTAAGTAAAAGAACGACATGCCAAATTAGAGTGTTTGTCCCCCTTGATGTGACCTTGAGAATACCATTGAGCAATGTCCTTATTTCACTGAAGAGTAACAGTAATACGTAATTTTTTATCAAATCAAAGCCCTCAATGCCTTAATTAAACTAAATAGGGCTTATGAGCACTGGACGTTAAGAAACATTTCTTAAAATACCATTTTGTTATTCCAATTGTATAAAAATGTCATTTTCTAAAGACTGATTTTTTTGCTTCTTCATGACTTTCTTTTGGTATATGGATTTATACACATACCATCTTTCATGCACTCTTACTATTTTATAAAATATATTAAGTTAATCCTAACAGCAACCCTATGATTCAGATGCTATTATCATTGCTATGAGATAGATGGTGAAACCGAGGCACAGAAGGGCTATGCAACATGCCCACAGGCACACAGCGGATTAGTGGCAGAACCAGGATTCAGTCCCGGTATCTTGCTTCAGAGCACATGCGCTTACTTACTGGGGTAATCACTTCCTAAGTTATGTAAATACCTAATCCCTATGTTGTACACCTGAAACTAACATAGTATCGTATCAACTATAACTGAAAAATAAAAATAAAAAAAAACGTTTTAAGTAAAAAAAAAAAATTATAAACAATGTTTCAAAAATTTTTAAAAAGTACATGAGTTTAACTACCACACTATGATACCTTGTATTTCCTTGTGGGCCTTCAACATATGCCTGTTAACTTTTTCCTTAATGTGTTTACAGCATTTAAGCATGTGTATGGTTTTCAAAGTATAAGATTGGAAATCCATAAACATGAAATAAGGGGTGGATTTTTCTAGGTACCAAAACCAAAACACAGTGGCAGTTTTGCGGAAGAAAAAAGTTTAGAGTTCCTGGACGCTACTGACCTAGTGCTCAGTCAGACACAAGAGTCACAGACCGCGGAGCTGCCTTTTGATTCACTAAGTGTGTAAGTTAACTTCTGTCAGCAGGAGGGCGGGCACTGGGGGCGTGGCCACTGCCACCACAGGAGCATCTCTGTGACTGGCGTAGAAACCTCTCTACAGGACAGCCGTGACAGAGAGCAGAACAGCAGCAGTTCCTAGAACTTGAAGCGTGGATTGGTACATTAAAAATTGTGACTGAAGTACAATCTGTCGTGGATTAGTCCCTTTATGGACCATTCAGGACAAATTTTTCACACATCTGACTTCTCTTTCCATGTGGCACAGCAACCTCATGCCATTAACTGAAGAATATTCAATGCATGAAATTAACTGTCATATTACAAAATTGTCTGTCACCAGCAAGTGGATGTGCTACCAAGAAGCCTTACAGAGAGACATTTCCTTAGGAGTGAAGACTTTTCTAAAATGCACTTGAAGAAACCTTAGTGCTTTGAGAAATTACTAGTAAAGAGGGCTCCTGGTCAAATCAAAGTAGAATATTGTGGACACTAACCCCACCCTTTAGAGGGTCACAACATTCATTAGCAAATGTAAAAGCTCCCAGGAGCCTTCTGACTTCTATGGTGTCCCAAACAAATTTGACCAGCGAGCCTTTATCACATAACACCTGCAAACAGCCTGAACAATGTATTTCGAAAGACTGTGACCTGGTGAAATTCCCACCATTCCA